TTGGACTCATGTACTTATAACTTGTTAGTCAAATTTGTGTCTTCTAGGTTGCAACACCCCCATGATACATCTTCAAGGATATGAACATGTACGGCCAAATACTAGTTGTTTTTGAGCATCTCCCCCCTCCATGGCTCTATGGTGTTGTTGTTGTTGTGTCCTATCCAGTTGGAAGTGGCCCACAGCTGATTTTCAGAGGCAGTTAATCATCAGGAGCAAATTGCCCATCTCTCTTCTGCCAAGCAGCTAATGGATTTGAAAGGCATACCTTTGCATCAGCAACAAAATTCCTTGCCTCTAAGCCACTATGGAGTTCTGGTGGCCTAGAGGTAAGATGGAAATTGATCAGGTATAAAAAGCGATTTTCCAAGATATGTAGGAGGGGCTGTGCTGTTGAAAAGAGTTCCAGTTGACAAATAACATGATCTACGGATGTTTATTAGAATATGATACCATATGCTATCTAGCACACTAGGAGCTCTGGTGGCCAAGGGATAAGGAGTTGTGTGCTGGAAATTCAAAGATATGCTGTTCAAATCCACCAGCTGCTGTGCAGGAGAAAGAGGTAATTAACTCCCATGTGATTAGTCTCTGAAAAATCCTCTGGAGGGTCAGGTATGATTAACTGCCTCGGAAAACCCACTGGAGGGTCAGCTTGATGATACACAAGTCAGTACAGTAGCATATTTTTTGTTTTTTAATTTTTTAAATTATTAATTTCTATGAAAATTTACAGAGACTTTGGATTTCCATTCATTCATTGTTTCACTTTTCTCCACTCCCAACCCTCCCCCCAGTACACTCCCCTCTTGGAAAAGTATAAGAAAAATTCTCTCATTGTTTTACAATCCCTCCCCCCAGGCCCACTTCACTATGCAGCCTTCGCTCTGAACTGTCATGACAAAAATACCTAATTACATATCCTTTTTAAACAGTTTTCTTCCTCATCTGTTTCAATGCAGTATACATTACTTAACCCATCTTTCTCAGTCTCCCCCCCTCAACTCCGAGGTCAGTCCTGTTTTACAACAGTGGCATCATGCAGTATTTCTCCTTTTGTGACAAAGATACTTCACTCAGCATAATGTCCTCCAGGGTCACCCATTTTGAATAATATTGCATGAGTTCCTTGTTTTTCAATGCAGCATAGTATTCCATTGTGTGAATAAACCATAGCTTCTCTATCCTATCCATTCATTTGTTGATGGGCACTTAGGTTGTTTCCAACTCCCTGCTATTGTGAACAAAGCTGCGATACACAGGGGTGTGCATATATCTGCTTGGATGTCAATTATGGTCTCTTTGGGGTATATCCCAGTAATGGAATTGCTGGATCAAATGGTATCTCTATTTCCAACTTTTTGAGAAAGCACCATACTACCTTCCACAGTGGTTGAACCATTTTACACTCCCACCAACAGTGAATAAGGGTTCCAGTTTCTCCACAACCTCGCCAGCATTTGTTACTTGCTGTTCTGTTAAATTTTGCTGTTCTGACTGGGGTGAGATGATATCTCATAGTTGCTTTAATTTGCATCTCTCTTAGAACTAGAGATTTTGAACATTTCTTTATGTGCTTGTTAGCCATCTTAATGTTTTCTTTGGTGAAGTACAGTAATGTATTCTAATAAATATCCATAGTTCACGTTATTTGTCAACTGGAACTCTTCAACAGAAGCACAGCCCCTCCTACATACTTTGGGAAATTGCTTTTTACACCTAATCAATTTCCATCCTCTCTTCCAAACTGATGAAACATTTGCAGTCAACATAATTCACTACCTACTAAATGACCAGGGATTTATATTCTAGTCTTTCTCCTCCACTTTGCGCTGTCAATCCAACCGCAAGCGCTTCAGTCCTACCAACTGACAAAGATGGGGCAATCTCTTCCCGTGGGATTAACTGCCTCTGAAAACCTACTGGAAGGTCAGCTATGTGTCAGTTCCCACTCAAAGCAATCCGTTTGAATGTTTTTAAAATCCATACCCCAGGGCGCCGCCTAGATGACTTCGGGGCTCTCTCCAGCACGCAGACACCTGCGTTCTTGGTTGACTGGGCCTCGGCTCTCTCTAGGCGAAACTACACTTCCCAGTGGGCTGTTCGTCACCCCAAGTACTGCTCCTGGCTCCCGCAGACATCGCGCAACTTTGCGAGGCAGTGTGGGTGAGAGAAGTAAAGAGGGGGTGGTTGATTCCCACTACGCTTACGCACCGCGAAATGGCTGGGAGGAAGGACGAGCAGAGAGGGGGCGCGCCCCTGATGGCGGAAGGCAAATCGGAGGAGGAGGAGGTTAAGCTCATTCTGTACCACTGGACGCATTCCTTCAGCTCTCAAAAGGTAGGAGCTAGGCCGGCGGGCGCACAGCCGGGTTTCAGCACCAGGACAGCTCCCGCGGGGTCGGCCCGGCGCTGGCGCACTGCGAGCCCTCAGTTACTGTCTTCACCTCCAGGTTCCTGGAGCGCGGGTATGCTCCTTGATCGGGGGGCAGGGGCAGCCCAGTCTGAGATTGAAACGCTGGGAACCAGTCACTGCTAGGGCAGAAAAGCATCACTTTCGTTATTTGTGCTGGAGGCCTTGCTGCAGGGCCTTGGAGAGTGAGGCAGAGGGAAGCAAGCGTCTTCCCTTCCATAACAGACAGACTCTATGGTTCCTTTTTCCTGCCTTCCTTGCTCCCGTTCACTTTCTTCATCCTGGCCCTGCGTACCTCGGTTTCCGGTTCTTTTCTAGGATGGGCACATAATTAAGTTTAGGACTCTCAAAGTGGCAACAGGGATATGCGGGGGGTCGGGGGGTGGGTGTGGGTGGAAGGGTGGTGGTGCTGCTGTATAATGAATATAGGCAAAAATTTTCATTACTTTGACCTTTCCCATTTATGAGACCTAAATGCCAGAATATACTTGTTAATCTAGGAATGGGAATACTGAAAAGATTAACGGTCGAGGAAGGCACTGAAGGACTTACTAGTGTCCTGGGAAGTCATTTGAAATCATTTGAAGGCACGTTTTGTGTAGTAACCAGTGTAAACTCTTACAGGTGCGCTTGGTAATTGCTGAAAAGGCATTGAAGTGCGAGGAACATGATGTAAGTCTGCCCTTGAGTGAGCACAATGAGCCTTGGTTTATGCGTTTGAACTCAACTGGAGAAGTGCCTGTCCTTATCCACGGGGAAAACATTATTTGTGAGGCCACTCAGATCATTGATTATCTTGAACAGACTTTCCTGGATGGTAATGTTTTAAGGCTATTTGTGATTTCTTGGATTTAATTTCAGCACATGTATACGTGTTCTTTTCTCTCTCTTTTTTCTGGTTTCATAATATTGGTTTAGTGATAAAAAGCTTTTCCATTTCCATAAGCACACATATACATCAGACAGTTATAGTAACAAAGTTTGAATGAACGTGTAATTCTCTTCAAAATAAATTTATGTCAATAACAGATTTCATTGTTGAATTTTTTTTATCTTAAATTTATTTTTTATAAAAACACGGCAGGTGGAAAGTTTTTGGTGATGATTCACTCACTAGTCGTGAGGTCAGATTCGCCTTATTAATTCCAAATCTACACTATGGAAATAAATTTTACCTAGATTAGTGAAGTGATTGTTTTCTTAAATGGCTCCACCTGAACAGTTAAGAGAAAAAGTGAGAATAAATTATAAACAAGGATGAACAAAGTGTTAGTATACTTTGGATCCTTTGCCCCTATTACTTTTGCAGAGTTTCTATATTTATATCTTTTTAAAGTAATTTTAGAATTTACATTTGCATGTTGTTGTTGTGTACCACTAAGTCAGACACCATAACGGACCCTCCAGCAGGTTTTCAGATGCAGTAAACTATGTGAAAGGAGACTGACCATCTTTTTCTCATGGAGCAGCTGGTGGATTGGAAGGAACCACATACCTTTGCATTGGCAGCACAATTCCTTACCACTAAGCCACTAGCATTCCTACATTTGCATAGTGCATTTAAATAATTTTTTTATTGGCAGTCTGTTTTTTGTCAAGTGTTTTGTAAATATTATTGAGTCTTCAAAAGAAGCTGCATAGGCAGGATAGTCATTCCTTTTTTGTATATTATTGTTGTTGTTGCTTGCCTTCGAGTCCGAGCACTCTTCATAATGACCCTATGAACAGAAGGCCTGAAGCCCCTCTACAACTATCGACATTTAACAAAGTTTCATAGACTTTTCAGAGGCATGTTGTTTAGGAAGTGGATGCCACCCCTGCACATTAGAAAAGAGAAACACAAGTTGCCTGGGGCAGAATGCAAGTAGTTTATGTACAAAATGCTTATACTGCTCTGTCTCGCATAGCTGTTGCCTTTTACATGGTTGTCTCACTTTGCTTCTGATGACAACCTTTTAAGGTGAACTGTACCTTCAAGGTTTTGCCCAAGATTCTACAGCTCATCATGGAAGTAGTTGTTGTGTACCATAGAGTTAAAATCAACACATAGCTGAGGTTCCTGTGTGTTTCCAGTTGCAGTTAATCGCAGTAGAAGAGGTTGCCTTCTTGTCTTTCTTCTACAGAGCAGCTGCTGACCTTTGAGATTGCATTGTAGCTTCTTACCACTAGGCCACCAGAGCTCAGGGACAAAACCTAGGAGTCCTCCCTTCCAGTCAGGTACTCCTTAGTCACATTAACCTTGTCTCTCAGGTCCCATGCCACTGCTTTATAACCATTCAACCCTTCTGTGCTTGCATAGTAAACCCTAGGCTCCTTGAGGGTAGGGACTGAGAATTGCTTGATTTCCCCCTCAATTTATTTTTTTGCCTGGTTCATCATGCTCAAAAGAATTTGCTATATAAATGAATGCTTAAATTAACAAAGTTGCATCCAAGTGGAGCTAATTAAAATGTTCTCACAGTTTTGCAAGGTCATTGATGGAAAGATTGGAGGAGTCTGAGCAGAAGTTTTGTTTAAAGGTCCCTATTGTTCTGAACCAAAGAATGCAAGAAATTTCTTTCTCCTGCATGATAACTTGCGATTACTTATAAATCTATATATGATGAGGATTGAACTGAAAATGGAGACTATGATATACATGATTTAAAACCATTTTTCTTAACCTGGAGCTTTTTGGAAATGGATAAGTCTCTTAGATCATTTGTGTTTGATGGGAAAGATTGTCATAAGATTGTGAATAAAACAATAATTGTATATGAATCTTATATGGAATAGTAAAAACTTTAAAAGATGTAAGTGAATGAACAGTCATGTTTAAACGTTTTGCTGACATCACCTAAACTACTACTTCCTCTTCCACCTTTCCTCTCCTCCTCATCCTCTTCATCCTCCTCTTCCTTCCATTGTTTCTGCAATAAGAAAGTCAACAATATAAAATATATAACATAGTAATCCTAATGTTTATCGTGCTGATTGTTATGATTATTTCTTAACATTTCCTTATGTTTTTCTTTTCTTTGAGATATAATAACAACAAAACAAATATATTCTGAGTCCTGCTTAGTTAGATTTAAATAATCAGCCAAAGGAAATATTAAGGACTTCCCCCCCCTTAATACTAAGCACTTTTTGTTACTATTTACTGTATCAGAGAGGATGGCAGTAAATGAGAGGATGCAATATGGGAACTCAGAAACTCATTGCTATTGCGTTGGAACCGACTTAGAGCTGACCCTCTTAGTGGATTTGAGGAGGTTGTACATGTGCTGGAGGAGTTTTCCTGTCACTTTCTCTTGGAGCCGCTGGTGGATCTGAACCAAGGGTGCCATCTTTGGGGTAGCGGCACCACTCCATATGCGCTAGGCCACTAGAGCTCTCTATGTACAAACTCTCTCATTGCTGTTGAGTTGGAACTGACTCATAGCTGACTCTCCAGTTTGTAAATCACACGGTAGATTTCCCATCTCCTGAGTAGTTGATGGATTCGAACAGTTTGCCTTTAGATTGGCAGTGTAACTCCTTACCTATTTGGCCATCATTGCATCCAATATAGAAACTGTTGTTACTGGGTGCCATTGAGTTTACTACAACTCATAGCAGCCCTCTGAACAACAGATCTGAGCCTTGTCCTATCCTTCACCATCTTCATCTCTTAAAATATTTGATCCCATTGTTACAGTCACTGTGTCATCCGTCTTATTGAGAGTCTTCCTCTCTCTCTCTCTGACCCCCTGCCTTTCCCAGCATGGTGCTTTTTTTCTAAGGACTGACTGACTGACCTCTCTTAACAACATGACTGGTATGTAAAACCAGGTTGCACTATCCTTCTCTCTAAGGAGAACCTTTGTTGCACTTTTCTATAGAAACTGCAGAGCTTAATTCTGGCTATTTTAGCAACTGGAGAGACAAAGCAAGTCCAGTTAATTCCTACTCTACTGTTCCCTCTTTTTCAAGAGGGCAGAGATTAATGGACCTAAAACTCATAATATAATTGAAGGGAGCATGAGAACAATTAGTTATATAAGTAAAGGCTAGTCTAGTCTGCAGGGAGCTCTGGAGGCCTTGGTGGGTAGTTGTGCTGCCAAATCAAAGGCTCACAGTTCGAATCCATCAGCTGCTCTGTTGAGAAAGGCAAGCAGTCTCTTCTTGTGTGATTTATAACCTCAGAAACCCTGCTGGAGGGTCAGATATGAGCTTATTTTGATGCCATCGGCAGTAAACTCTTGTTGCGTCTAATCTACAGATCCAGGTGAAATTTATTTCAGAATATTGAAAACAACTCCCCCAGAAAAAGCCCCCCAAAACCAAAACAACCCCAGACAACAACAGCAAAAAAAGCAAACACACTATTTTCATAAATAAATCATCAAGATGCTATTTTCCAAGTACCACTGGATGGGTTTAGAACCTCCAGCCTTTTGGTTAGTGATTGAATATTAGCCATTCACACCATACAGGGACTTAAGATATATTTGAAGATAGCATGTATATGTGATTTAGGAAGTATAAATTTATCTTTGTCCCCATTAAATGGCTACAGAATGCTTTTATTGTTTCTAATTTTTTCCCCCTTTTAACTTGTTTTTGGTTTCTCCTGCTCTCATTTATCATGATTTTCTGCTTTGTGTCTCTCTGTAATTAACCATATGTCTGTGCACAGTGCAAGCAAGACCTGTTTTGTCTTCTACTGAGTTCATTTGGGAAATTGAGTTCTATGCCATGACCTTAGTCACCAAGCCCAGCTTTCATTAAGGTTATCCCTCCCCTACTCTCTCCTTCCCCTAAAGTTCCACTCTTTAGTCCTACAATCTCCTCTCATTGCCAACTTTTCAAAACCCCTGGTTCCCTGATTTGTGTCCAGCACCTCTAAGTCTTCCCTTACTTTTCCATTCCTGATTCAGGTAAAATATTAGCAGCAAACTCTTTCTCTTTTTTAAATATTAGAACAGAAATACTCTTTGGTAAGACTGGAAAAGAAAATATAATGTAATTCAGAGGAACAATCTCTTGTGAAGTTTGAAGGAATTTCCCAAGTGTCTCTTGAAAAGCCTTGTTTCTAGAGGCAGTGGACTGCTGTGGTTTTGTATGTGGAGGAAGACAACATACACTTAGGAGCATGTTGTGTATGGGATACTGGACAGCTGGTTTTGGGAAGCATGCAAGAAGAGAAAGTGATACTAGAAGAAAATGTGGGTTCAGTGGTTATTTTGTGCTCTGACAGTGCTTCAGGAAATAGTTCGATAGTTATATGAGTAGAAGAAAATTGTTTTCATGGATCTAAACATTTGTCCTCCTTTAAAGAATTCAGAGTTGGCCAGATGGGAATTCCTCAGGAAGCAATTAGACATTCTTTTACCTACCCTAGAGCATGCTTCTAGAAACAAAGTGCCATGCGCTTCTGGAGAGAAGCCCCATCATCACTTGGCACTGGGAAGCAACTTGGTCCAGTAGCTATCTGAGGAGCATTTTAAAATATTTTATCATTTGTAATAGAATCAAGGTTATTAATTAAAGGTCTTTGGGGCCCAAGAAAGTGGTTATAAAACTTTTTAGTCTCAGGATCTTTTTGTACTCTTATAATTTGTTGAGGACACTTGAGAATATTTTCTTATGTGAATTACATCTATCATCATTTATAGTATAAATTAGAATTTTCAAAGTTTTAAACATAAGATCACACAAGCCGGGGGAGCTCTGGTGGCCTGGTGGCGGGAGGCTGCACTGCAGTCCCAGAGGTGCACAGTTCGAATCCACCAGATGCTCTGCCGGAGAAGGAGGAGCAATATCCTTCTGTATCAGTCAGATAGGATTTGACGGTACACGCATACAAAATAATAAAAAAACAATTAAAAAAAAAAAAAAGATCACACAAGCCCTTGCTCTATCAGTTCTCATAGAGTAATGGGTTCATTGCATATCTTGTCTCTGGAATGCACTGCTTGCACACTCAGATAAAATGAGAGTGAAAAATGCAATTAATATTCTAACATAAAAATATTTCCAATGTTATGGACCCTTAAGAGCATCTTGGGAGGGGCCCAGGAACCTTCAGACTACATATTGAAAACAGTTTCGCTGAAGGATCTATGAGTCTTATATAGGCAAAATTGCTATCTTTATTTTCTTTAATTTCAAGCAAATGTGTCATTTCTTTCCATAATCAATGTAAATATAATCCATAGCAATAACAGCAGTGCTTATGACTCTGTAACTCTTAGAAATTATAGAGATATTTATAACTTTTACATTATTGCCAATAACTTGAAATACCATTTATGCTTATGCCTGCTTTAAAATTGTGGTAATTATTAGACATTCATATAATATATTTTCATATAATACATTTTTTAAAAAGACGTTTATGTCATATATTTTCTGCATTTACAGACATTATTTTGAGAAGGTGTCCAGTCACCAGGCTACCAAAGAGGCCCTTGACCCACAGAGGCTCAGAACTCTAGAATTTTAGGGACTGTAGGAGGACTCCAGTCTACCCTTTCTCATGTAAATATCTGCCATGTGATAGTTGTGATCCTGGGTAATTGGGATTGAGGTCCTGAGGGGCTGTTAGTTCCTGGTGAGGAGAGATCAGCTGCTGTAGATACTCTGTCAGTTTGCCTTCCATATGAGGCCTGTGATGAAGTGAGCTCTCATTTTAGAAATGTGCTATTGAGAAGAAGTATACTGCTGATGTTTCATTCTTGATTATTCTAATAGCCTTTAGGATTAGACTGCCTGGCAGGAAATTAGACATTTGGTTTCAAGAATAACCTATATTTTTGTGTTGTTGCTGTCTTTCTTTTTTTTGGTGTGGCTTTTAATGTTGTGTCAGTCAGGAATTAATTCTTAAAAGTTTAATTCTCTTGATGAACCAAGGACTCCAGGTTAGTAGCCCATTTTTTTCTATAAGTAATGATCTGGCATTATGAGAACTTGCCTGAAATGGTGTGTGGAGAACAACCAACTTTGAATTGCCAGTTCTTATGATAAGTATTGAATTATCAAAGGTTTCTAAATTAAATAATCAAGCCAAGAAAGAAATTACTTAGGAAGGGTTAGGTTAATTTTTTCCCTAGTTGAAATAAGCTGGTTGAGATTTTATATATATATATATATATATGACAAATTTAGACACAGCTGGGAAGAGATTCTGAAGGAACATAGCTATGACCTTTACGTCCTGTGGTTCACTTTTATTCTTCTTGGATAGTCTCTGGAATGCAAACTATTTGAAGATGTTATTATAGTGCAATAAAATAGAGAACTGGTAGAATACAGATTAGTTTCATCTTACCTCTCTCTAATTAGCTATGGGATCTTGGGAAAAATTTTCATCTTCTATGTCTGAGTGTCTTTCTTAACTACAGAACTTTCCCAGCTCCAGTATTGTATAATAAAGGAAAACATGGGGATACATTACTCACTCATTCATTGCCATTCAGTCTGAACCAACTCATATCTGACCCTCCAGTGGATTTTCAGAGGCTATAAATTACATGGGAGGAGATTGCTCATCTTTCTTCCTCAGAGAAGCTAGTGGATTCAAACCGTGAACCTTTGGATTTACAGCACAATTCCCTATCCACTAGGCCACCAGCCCTGGGGACATAGTAATTAATTAAAATATATACCTCATGTGTCAATACCATGTTAAGCACTAGGTTTCAACAGAGAATAATACAGGATCCCTACCCCTTAGAGTTTACATATAATCTAGATTTGTAACCAGAAAAGGAGGATTTAATGAAAATTCATAGGTAAGTTGCTATAAATTTCCAGGGAAAATGCAACTCTGGCAAAAGCCTTTTTCCATTTCATTGAGATGGTCATTTCACAATCCCACAGCAACAGCCGGGCCACAGTTGTCGTTGATCAAAACCCAGTAGAGAGTTCCCTCTCATTTTCCCTTTCTGAGTTTTTCCTTCACTCAGTCAGCCTTTATTGAACACCTCAAATGTGTGAGGCTTAGGACTGGAGCTTAGATCATAGACTCTATGCTCTGAAGGGGCTCATGAGTAAATAAACAACTACTAACTGGGTGATCAGAGGTCAGTGTGATGTGTGTCAGATCCACACACCAGGAGGGCACACCTGGCCCCATCAGATTCTGGCAGTTATGATAGACCAGGGAATGTTCCATAGAGGAGGTGGCATAAATAACAGAAATATGAAGAATGAGTAGCAATTTATAAGGTGGAGAACTGGGAAAATCCCAGTGTAATCATGCATCAGGCCATTTCCCTATGTTTAATGTCTGAGTCTGAGGAAATAGCATCTGCTCAATTCCCTGATGTAACACTGAAAACATTGGTAAAGAGGAGATTGTAATCTTTGGTTTGGTTTTGCTTTTGGGTGTGATTTCTCATTTGTAACTTTTTCTTTAATATGTTTGTGTGTTTGTGTAGAGAAAACACCCAGGTTAATGCCTGATAAAGGAAGCATGTACTACCCACGGGTGCAGCATTACCGAGAGCTGCTTGACTCTTTACCAATGGATGCCTATACGCATGGCTGCATTTTACATCCGGAACTAACTGTGGATTCCATGATCCCAGCTTATGCAACAACACGGATTCGCAGTATGTAAAAATCTGTCTTCTGTTTCTGTTCACTCAGTTTTGAAACCTGACTTGTCTCCTGGCCATTGAGAGAATTCTGTGAATAGGTCATTGAGTTCTTCATGGACATGCATGCACCTTCTGAATATTCTGTGCTTCAGCATTTCAACCTGATAGTTCAACTGACCGCTTGTCTGTAGACTTGGTTTTCCACCTCTTGGCCTTGAGGGCCAAGCTTGAATTAAACTCTAAGTGTGACCTGTGAAAAAAAATAAAGAACCTATTTCCATGGATAGGTGAACTGGGAATTAGGAAACCTGGAAACTTCTGGGATTAACTGATGTTATTCTACCTTTAAATTCGGGGATTGCAGATTTATTGAGAATGAGTTGGGACATCAGAGCACTAATTTCTTCTTGTCCTGAGAGTAGCATACAGTCAAATAAATGCCTGAGTGGAGAAGAAGGATAATGCTACATGGTACAGGTGGTCACTAGGGCTAGAGAGGCAATGTGGCAGTGGCTGGAGGGTGCTAAACTAGAAACATGAATCACACAGAGTTCTGGACTGTATGTAATACGCATATAGTCTTACTATATATTTTTTTTGTAAGGAACAACATCTTACAGGTTTGTTTTTGTTTTTGTTTTTTTTAACATCTTACAGTTTTAAGGACATCCTTAGCATTTTTTTAATCTGCTTTATTATCTCAGGTCTTTGGTCTTCATTGTACCTTATTGAAATCTTATGATCTCCTTCCATTTCCTACATTGTTGTTGATGATTGCCTTCGAGTTGAGCAGACTCGTAGCCACCCTATGAACAAAAGGCTTCTTGAACAACTATCAACATTTATCAAAGTTCATAGTTTCCGGAGGCATGTTCCTGCATTCAGATAACTGAATGAGGGCATGAAAGTTTACGTAGTCCTTTCAGTGCTGAAATTGAGCTCAAACCCAGGTCTTCTAAACTCCTAGATTGTTTAGTCTATGATATTGTTGTTGTGTAGCATAGCACCAGAATCACCCCATAGCTGACCTTCTGGTGGGTTTTCAGGGGCAGTTAATGGCACGGGAGGAGATCGCCCATCCTTCTTCTGCAGATTCCATTATATTATACCTCTCTTGTACCAATTCAGCCAGGTGCTTTTAGCACTGTCTACTCTCTCCTTCCTTCCACTCTTTCTCCATCTGGCCCTTTTACTCCACACACTTCCCTCCTGCTCTCTTCTTTCCCTGCTTTTTCTAACCACCTTCCTTCTCTTTACTTCATAGTCCTTTCTTCTTGCCTCTCCCATTCTTCTTTGTCCTTTCTGTAAATGTGGAATATAGTGTTTGAAACAAGTATTCCGGCTCCAATTCCACCACCTGTTACTTGTTTTAAAATGAGGCTATTCTACCTCTTTTATTAGAAAGAAAGAAATTATAAAAAACTTTATTAGAAAGTAAAACAACTAATCTGCACTTAGCATTTTCCTAAACACTTTTCATGGTATTTCTCATTTAATTCTCACCCTGTGCAGCAGATACTCCTTTTGTTGCTGTTGTTATGTACTGTTGAGTTGCTTGTGACTCATTGTGACCCTATGTACAACAGCCCTAAACCCTGCTCTATCCTGTGCCACGTTGGTGGTAGAGTGATAAGTATAGCTGCCTTCCAAGCAGTTGACCTGGGTTCGTTTCCTGGCCAGGGCAGCCAGCAGACCAATGAAGTACTCCTAGATTTTTGTTGTTTGGATAAGGAAACCGAGAAAATATGTCTACAGCAGAAACAGGGGTTTGTATCTGTTTCTTAATATCAAGTATCCGCTCTTCTCCTTGTTTCTCATCTAGAAAGGAGCAAAAGTTTCTCTCTGCTTCAAAAAATATTTTTATTGTCAGGTCAAATAGGTAACACAGAATCCGAACTGAAGAAACTTGCTGAAGAAAATCCAGATTTACAAGAGGCCTACATTGCAAAACAAAAACGTCTTAAAGTAAGTAAACTAGGGTTCTCTACAGTTGATATCCATTGTGTGTATTAAATAGTCTTTTTTTTTTGTACCATACCACTATTTCTAGAATGTCTTCTAAATCAATGTAGCTGTTAACTGGTGCATGTTACCTTTGGCTTATGCTGTACTTTTAGAAAGAATCATCATTATTACATGTGATAGTTATACCAAATAGCAATTATTGAAAAAAACAGATATTATGTTGGTTGTCAAAGAAAGTTATAAAATGAAAAAGTTCATAAACTATTCTGGGAATCTCTGCTTTCCTCTTTGTGTTGTTATACCCTGACTTATAATCACTGACCACATCCCTCTATCCCTTCTAGGAGCAGAGCTTTGCCCCTCCAGTTCTGATCAATTTCTTGGTAATACCTTTTCTGTCTTTAAATGTGGTGACAAGCTTCTACCAGATTTAAAATAGAGCAAACATCCAAACTCCCACCTCTTCTCTCTAGTTCTCAAATGTATAAACATATCTTTCTTTATTCTACTTAGCTGAATGAGCTCCTTGAAGAAACATCTAAACATACTGTCCCATTCCTGACTTTCCACTCACTAACCACTCTGTTACGCGGAGTGTTATGCACCTGTGTTATGCAAATGATACAAGCTTGCTTGCTGAAACTGAAGAGGACATCAGGCATATGCTGCAGAATGTCAAAGACTAGTTTTCAATATGAATTGAAGCTCAACATCAAGAAAACAAAGATTCTCACCACTGGGCCAATTGATAGCTTCATGATAGAGAAGAGATTGAGTTGTTAACAACTTTAGCTTGCTTGGTTCCACAGTCAACACTCTTGGCACCAACAGTTAGGAAATCAAAGAGGAATTACACTGGGAAAGTCAGCTGTCAGAGACCTCTTTAGAGTACTGAAGAACAATGATGTCAGTCTGGAGACTAAGGTGTACCTTTTATAGGCCATGGTCTTTGTAATTACTCGCTTTGTGTCAAAGAGCTGGACAGTGATTAAGGGTGATAGAAGAAGAATCGATGCCTTTGAGTTGTGCTGGAAAAGAGTGTTGAACGTAATGTGGACTGACAGGAGAATTAACAGGTTGGAAGAGGGTGAAGCAAAGCTGCTCCCTGGAGGCAAGGATTTTGAAGCTCTGTTTACATATTTTGGGCACATGGTCAGGAGGGACCAGTCCTTGGAGAAGAACATCATGCTTAGAAGGGTGGAGGGACAGCATAGGACAGGATGAGATGGATTGACTCAGTGACTGGAGAAGTGGGATTGGGTCTGTCAGAGATGATGAGATTGACTCAGGATAGGGCAGGCTTTAGAGCTGTTGTACATAAGGTTGCTATGAGTTGCAGATGACTCGACAACACATAACAACCACCACCATCACTCTGGGAGACAGTTGGGCAGTCTCCTTCCATAAAGATTTACAGCCTCGGAAACCCAGTTAGAGGGAGTGAATTAGAATTGATTTGACAGTAGTGGATGTGGTTTGGTTCATACTTTTGTACAACTTCAGGGGGCCCATGGAATTCCTTCACTGAAGAATTCCCAAGTGACATGGATCTCATATTAAGAACCCCATTAGCGGCAAGAAGTTGCATTGCAATCCCGGAGACGCACGGTTTGAATCCACCAGATGCTCTGCTGGGGAAGGAGGGATAATCTCCTCTACCAGTCAGATCTGATTTGACGGTACACACACAAACACACAAATAATTAATATATATGTTTAAAAAAAAGAAAAAAAGAACCCCATTAACTATTGATGAATTGAGGTGAAGTACATGAAAAAGACCGAGAGATAGGAGACTGAGAATGGAAAGAATCAGATGATAGCAATGCAAGGAGAGGTATTTGAGATGCCCTCCTTCTTAGGAAGGGAATTCCGATGCCAAAGTCTGTAGGAGTTACGATGATACCCCGATGGCCAAGCCTGTATGGCAGTTTGAATATCCTAGACACTCCAAGGTAGGAAGACGGGCAAGCTCTCTACCCACTCCCCAGGACTCCACCACCTTCTCCTTTCACTCCATTCCTTCTTATTTCAGATTTTTTTTTCTTTGTCATTTCTTTTCCATTTAAAGTTTTTATCTGCCTTGATCTCAGAACCCATTCATCTGTGGTATCTGTTGGCATTGATGATGATTATTTAACAAAGTGTGTGCGGTCTAGGGTTAAGAGGTGACCACAGCTGCCAATCGGCCAATCCTGAGTTAGATAGAAAAAGACGTCTCTTTCTGTGGCTTCTCCTCTGTCTCCACCGAAGTTGTCAGGAGGTGGTGGTCTGGATTCTGGAATATTTTCTAGGCTGAGTTGTTCCCCCCTTGACTTAATGGTATTTTATTTCTATCTGTTGTCCAGAATAATTGGCTTCAGCTCTTTAAGATTTTTTTCTACTTTGCTTTCTATTTTCTTACTGATGTAAGTAACCCATTTTGTTATTGTTGTTGTTTCCAATCAGTCAAAGCTACTTGACCATGACAATGTCAAATATTTGAAGAAAATTCTGGATGAGTTGGAGAAGGTTCTGGATCAGGTTGAAACTGAGTTGCAAAGGAGAAATGAAGAAACTCCAGGTAGCTTCTTAATAATTTTCCCCCTTTTTTTTCCTCAACATCAAGAGGATTTATAAAAACATTCTTATTTGTTACTCAAAACATTTTGGATATCTGTTTTAGTGTTAGTTGTTAGTTTTCCTTTATTATGGTAGTAGTAATACTGAATTCAACAAAATTCTAGCATGTAACTCTGTCTCATAAGTGAAATATGGCTGATGTGGGATTTTTCTATAGAATTTAATTAATGGTTGGGAGATTATTTCTATAATCTCCTATCTACATATTTTAATTGCAATAGTGATTTTGGTTGAATAATCGTAGTAATGCTCCCCCTAGGTTTTTCCTTAAGCTGATAGGAGATCAACTTGCAATCCAAAGCATTCTCACCCCACACACATGGTATCTGCAGGACTGGCTGGGGCATCCATGTATCTGTGTATTCTGCTGGCCATAGTTCGTGGTTAAGACATTGTCCAGGTGTGCACATAGGGACCTGTAGCTCTAGAATTACAACACAAAGTCCATGCTACCTGAAACCCCCTTCACAGTGAGGCCTCTCTTTTGATTTAAATAAGTAACTGTTGTTGTGTATCAACAAGTCTATTCTGACTCACAGCTGACACTCGTCTTCAGAGGCAATGCATTGCAAGGGAGGAGACTGTCCATATTTTCTCCTGCAGAACAGCTGATGGGTTCAAACCTTGTACTTTTGGGTTGGTGGTACAGTTCCTTAACACTAAGCCACCAGAACTCCCTGAATAAATAAAAGCAGAAAATCCAACTTGATGGCCCTGTAGCATATCTCTGGTTTTCCTGAACCAGAAGGAAGTCAACTTCTCTGGCTCTCAACAACTCAAGAGTCTTTAACAAAATGATAGACAGGCATTGAGGTCAAATACGTTTGGTGTCACCAGGGGACCTGAGTTAGATAGATGTCAAGCAAGTCTTCCTTAGCTTGGGATGTATTAGCATGGCTTTCCCCGCCCTGCCCTGCCACCCAACCCCAGCATAAAATTACTCATGAGGTGTCAAGAAAATGTGATGTATGCGGTTCAAATCCACCAGATGCTCTGCTGGAGAAGGAGGGGGCAATCTCCTCCTGTACCAGTCAGATCTGATTTGACGGTACACATTAAAATAATACAATAAAAATTTAAAAAAAATTAAAAAAAGGAAATGTGATATGACCTTCATTTTTACTACATCCATACTCACCTTTAGGACTGAGTCCACAGATTGCAGCTGGGGTCTGTCTGTCCAGTGCTTGTCCCTGATTCTCTGTGTTCCTTTCTCTGATTAGAAGAGGGCCGGCAGCCTTGGCTCTGTGGAGAATCCTTTACGCTTGCCGACGTCTCACTTGCCGTCACACTGCATCGCTTGAAGTTCTTGGGGTTTGCAAGGAGAAACTGGGGAAATGGAAAGCGACCCAATCTGGAGACCTACTACGACCGTGTCTTGAAGAGAAAAACATTTAACAAGGTTTTAGGACACGTCAACAATATATTAATCTCTGCAGTGCTACCGACGGCATTCCGGGTGGCCAAGAAGAGGGCCCCAAAAGTTCTTGGCACCACCCTTGTGGTTGGTTTGCTTGCAGGGATGGGATACTTTGCTTTCATGCTTTTTAGAAAGAGACTTGGCAGCGTGATACTAGCACTTAAACCGAAACCAAATTATTTCTAGGCTCACAGAGATCAGTTCATCCAGCCATTCAGCTAGACACTTGTCCACTCCTTAAGGCCCACAAAGAATTATCTAACTGGACAACCAGGGGAAAACATAATTTACTTTACTTTTCGGGTAGTTTATGTGGGAAGAAGCACCTGTGGAAATGTTTTGTGGGCTGGTTGCTTTGAGATACTTACTTGAGAGCCTAAACGAACCTATTCTTTAACCATGTGCAGACTCAAGATATATTAACACTGGCATTTTGAGAATTGACCTTGAGTCCAAATGCAGGTTTCAAGTTCTAAGTTACTAGGAGAGGAGTGAGGAGTAGATGATCTGATCATAGTGAGTTGTGCTTGCAGAGATCTGTTCATCCAGGTCTATGTGGATATGCTGAGTATTGAATAGTTAGCAGTGTTTTTCCCTGGAAAACATTCAGACATCCTCTTTGTCACATGACATAGGGCTGGGGACAGCAGTAGGTCAGCAGTAGCTCAGTTTAAGGCAGAATAGGGCAAAAGGGAAAAGGGAGAAAGGATTCTGTAAGTTTTAGACCATTGCAATGCAGATCACTTTTAAGTTACCATCTCTTAGTAAATGTTCCATTTCCCCACTTTTGACCATTGCTCATATGCCCATATATTGAAAAACCTTAGGAGAAAAAGCCTAGGCTGTGCAGGAGTTGGAAAAGGCTTGTAACTTGCATGTATAACATCTCATTTAACCACACAATTAATTTTGAATGCATATGAATCATGCTCATTGATTTACTAAGATTAACTGCTTATGCACTTGGTCACAACATGCCTATAGGAACATGTCTGCCTAACATTTACATGAAGGACTAAGCAATTACATTAAAATTACTTTAATGTGGTTACTTACTTTTTTAATAGTTCCTTAAGTCGATGGTGCCTGTGATATATCACTCTGGATCATCATCCAGTCACTGGGGGCTTTTTTTCCTTGTCTCCTCTGTAGTCTTCTTGATGCACAGAAATGTATTGAGGGGAGTAGCTCAGCTAATCAGCACAGTATGTGCCTTGGAGTAGACATGATCTGAGAGTATCAGATAGATTAAGTCTGAATTTTGGGAGGCTGGTTAGTTAATACAAGAACAGTTACTTTGATCTTGTATCTGTTTATGGTCATGAACAAAGCCTTAAAAGGTAAATCTAGTCATCTTGTTAGGTACCTCAGGTGGACTATGGCTCCTAGAATCCCTGTGATCTGAACCTTGCCCTATCCTGTCATCCTCATGATGTCCAGCATGCCCGAGTCTGCTTTTAGAGTCACTATGTCAGTCCATCATGTTGAGTTGTACTCTCCTTTGCCGACCCTCTTTTCCAAGAATGATGTAATTTTCCAAATGCCCAAAGTGTGTGAGAGGACACTTCACCATTCTTGCCTCTAAACAGCACTTTGATTGTTTTTTTACCAAGGCAGATTTGTTTGTTCTTTTGGGAGTCCATGGGATATCCAGTATTCTTTACTGCCATCACAATTCAAAGGCATAAAAAATTTTCCTGTCATCCTTATTTATTGTCCAACTTTCAGATGCCTAGGAAGTCATTGCAAATAACATAGCTTGAGTCAGACACAGCTTGGTTTCTGATATCTTTGCTCCTTAGCACTTTAAAGAGGTCCTTGAGCAGATTTCCCCCTGGTTTTGATTTCTTGATTGCTGCTGCCATGGTTGTTGACGGTGGATCCAAGGAAAAGGAAATAGTCAACAACTTCATCCTTTTAACCCATTTATTATCATGTTGCCTTTTGGTTGAGTGGTGAGCATTTTTGTTTTCTTGATGTTGAAATGTAATCCACATTGAAGGCTTATTGTTGTTAGATCCTGTCATATTGACTGTGACTCCCTGAACAGAGGATCTGAACCTTGCTGGATCCTGTGCCGTCCACACCATCTCTCACATACGTGAGCCTGTTGCTACAGTCACTGTGTCAGTCCATCTCATTGAGGGTATTTATTTTGCTCACCTTTCCAAGCATTGAAGGCAATTCGTTTAGAAAAACAAGCAAAACCCCATTGCCATGAAGTCTCTTAGCCACCCTGTGTGAGTGGAGTAGAACTGCCCCGTAGACTTTTCAGGGCTGTAAATCTTCACAATAGCGGACTGCTGTATCTTTCTCCTGTGAAGTTGTAATAGCTGACCTTCAGTTAGCTGCCTAGTGCTGTAAGCAGTCTGCCACCATTGCTCCTTGGCAGTTAGTTTAGAGATGATGAAATAAGTAGATAATGATGCCCCCGTATTCATTCATGTATAACTAACCATTTTGGGTATTTTTATTTGGAACGGGATGTGCCCCATTGACAACTTCTGGATTTCATTTTATAGTAAGCTCAGTTAGTGCACTGAAAGACAGTTTCTCTAGAGCTGACTTTAACGGCCTTTGGAGCAAATTCAGGTCTCAGATGGGTCACACATATGAAGACGATGACTTAAGATTGCACTGAGCAACAGGAGCTTGTTTGTACAGTCTGCACAGTGACCCAGGAATGTACCAACTTTCTCGTTAGCGGAAACAGTTATACCTAGGGAAGAATGACTTGTTGAAGGCAAAGTGAGTCTGAAATTCCATTTCATGATTGACTTGTTTTAGAAAATCTTGGTGAACTAGATCATCTCTGTTTACCAAAATTTACTAAAATCTCCAAATCACATTCAATTCAATAACATTGAATGGCCTACCAGCTTTCATTGTGTTTTAATTTTTGCACAGTACGCCATCATCTTGGAATGTATGTGAATTATTTGCCACTAGAACATTCCATTACATGTATTACTCCTAAAAGCCACAAAATTTATTACTTAGTAGTTCATAGTGTCTCAGATTTCTTTTTTTTTAAACTTTCTTTATTTTTCATTTCAGTGAACATCTACAGAGATTTTGGAATTCCATTCATTCATTGTTGCACCCCTCTCCTCGCCGCCCCCCCGTCCCCATTTGCTCCCCTCCTTCAAATGCAAAAGAAAAACTCCCTCATTGGTACGCAATCCCCCACACATATCCCCCAACCCCAAATATAATCCACTCTGCAACCCTTATTCCATACTCTTACGATAAACATAATGCCCTAAAATATAAAATATTCTCTCCCCAAAAGACTTCAATGCCGTAAACATATTTCATCCAGTTTTTCTCAGTCTTACCCCCA